GGAGGCAGCCGATTGATGATTCTTTCTCATCATTGATGTTTCTATCTCTCTCTCCCTCTCCCTTCCTCTCTTAAATCAATTTTTTAAAAGTATATATATATTTTTAAAAAGTAAAGTCCAGTTGCTTTATGTAACTTAAAAGTGTCCCTTCTTGTTTAGGTTTAGTCTTGTTCTGTTCAATAATTCCTTCAACATATTTCATACAAGTGAAGAAAACTAACATTCACCAAGCTGGGTACTTTTCAAGTATCATGTCTCATTTGCTTATGAAAAACAGGAAAGGAAGATATTATAGATTAATTTTCAAGAAGAAGAAATTGATTGAGGCTCAGAAAGATGAAGCAAAAGGGAAGGTAACTGGTAAATGACAGAACAGGGGCTCCAAAGCAAGAAGAAAGTAAGAATGCAGATGTGAACCAGCACGTGTTTGGAAGGATTGGACTCGGATCAGGCTTTGTGGGATTTGTTTCCTGGCTCTACAGTTCACTCCTGTGTGTTACTTTGTCTGTTCAAAGGGAATGATAATAGTGCTGCTTCGTACGGTTGTAGAAAGGATTCACATGGTAATCTATTGAAAACATCTAGTGCCTGGCCTGTAAGAGCTCCACATGGCTCAGTTACATACCCTCATCCCCGAAACAACAAAACAACCACCACCACCACCTTGGGCTCAGACAACAGAGGCTATTTAGAATTATTTGGGGAAGGAGGATATCAAAGAACTAGAGGCCCGGTGCACAAACATTTGTGCACTGGCGGGGGAGGGGGGATGGGGGGGGTGTCCCTCAGCCCCACTTGTGCCCTCTCACAGTCTGGGACCCGTCGGGAGATAACCACCTGCTGGCTTAGGCCCACTTCCTGGGTGGCAGATGGCAGGCCTGATCCCTCAGTGCCTGCCCCGCCTCCCCAGGTCACGCACACGGCAGGGCCGATCCAGGGGTTGGGGTGCCGCCCTGAGGCGCACACGGCAGGGCCGATCCGGGGGTTGGGGCATTGCCCCGGGTCGGGTCGCACATGGAATGCCCAGATGGAGGCCGGGCGGGCTGGCCGATCGCTGCTGCACCGCCCAGCCGCCCTGGGTCGGGTCACAGATAGCAGGCCCGGATGGCGGCAGGGCAGGCAGGATGGCACTGTCCCACACTGCCTGCAGTATGCAAATTATCCTCCATTTTTGTTGGCGGTTAATTTGCATATCATGCTGATTAGCCTATGGGAGGCGTAGCGAAGGTATGGTCAATTACCATGTTTGTCTATTATTAGATAGGATGATTTTTATATGTATACAGTGAAAATGCAGGACTCCTGAGTTTATTTGTTACTATGGACAAAGACACTGATTCGATTTTGTAGGAAATTATGAGCAGTCAAGCACAGCAGAAAGGAAAGGAGTAAACACACGCACACACACACTCAAATTTAGCTTCAATAGCCCCAATTCAAGGTACATAAATATTCCTTACTAAGTACTCCAGGTACCACTCTTGGTACTTCCATATCACTAAATCCTATCCCAAAAGCAGAAACTGGATTTACATACAGGAGACTGGTGTCTGGCGGAGCTGACACCACAGACAAACGGACCGCCTTGCTGGAACTTAGCTTCACATCCAACCGCTTGGAGCTGGCAACAGCTTTGGAAATGTCATACAACTCACTCTGCAGCCCTGTATATGGAAAGACATAAGGAAAACCGCGGGCATTTTATCTGAGGCCACAAAAAGAAAATTCCTTGCAGTGAACCTATTATCATCAATACCTCCGTGCATGATCCTAACCACTGTGTATTTACATACGGATCATTATAACTACCCCCTATCTGATTTTCAAACTTAGTGCAGGATTTTCAAATTCCTAAATCATGTTGCCCCTGGGGATCATGAATGTCCGTGGAATCTTCTGAGGGAGACATCCCCTAGGCATTTGGAATGTCTTGTGGGCATTTTGATTTCTCTGACTTCTCTGACTGATCAGGGAAGAGACATGTTATGGCAGCTGGGAGTGTAAAGAGCTTAGATTTATTTGGCATGGAATTCTCCCTTCCAGCCTCATGGCGTAATGCTTGCTGCAGAAATATCCAGGTATAAACTCAGTGTTGGTGAGAGTTACCCGGAGCTTAACTCGGCCGATCCCTTGCGTTTACCATAGTGATCCTCTATGACCTGCAACTCTCTAGTCAGTACTTGTCCTGGGCACTGCTTCCCAGTGGGGCAGAAGAGTGGCCCGGTCTGTTCTGACAGCTCACAGGATGGCAGCCTCGCTTCTGCTTACTAGGCCTGACTGGCTCTGCTTCTCCAAATCCCCACCGGCTCTGTCCTTTCCCGTCGGCGTCCTGATGGATGGAGTCCTCTGGACATTGACTTCCCACTCCCTTCCATGTCTAATGGCTGTTTCCTCCTCTTAGTAAGCAACTTCCTCTCGACGAAGACACAACAGTTAAGTCATGTTGAACTCAGTCTGATACCTAAGCCTTGGCTCCTCCCTCAGGGAGTTCAGTCTAAGAAAAGATAAGGAAGTCTTCAAGTTCCTACTATCAACATTATAGATGCTGTGGCTAGCTAGCATCCCACATGATAACACTGAATTAGATCTGAGTAGTTCAAAATACTATCTGAGGGGAAATAAGAGGTAGTGCTAACTAAAGGTAGGGATGGTAGTTCAAACAGAATTTCTTTCTCCTGAGTTAGACTGAACCAGTTCTTTCCAAAAGTCAGATAAGCCGTGGCCTGGTAGCTCAGTTGATTTCAGGATCACCCCGATCCACCAAGGTTGTGGGTTTCATCCCCAGTCAGGGCACATACAAGAATTAACCAATGAATGAATGCATCAATAAGTGGAACAACAAATCAATGTTTCTCTTTCTCTCTCCCCCACGTCAGAAGCCACGGGTAATACCTGCACTGACTTACATGCTGAGTGAGGGGCCTTCGCCACTCCAGCTCTATTAGGTGCTACTAATTCACGTCTGTCCCCACCAAGCCTTCAGGAAGAGGGGATGAGTCCATCTAGATGACTGTAACTGACTCGTGGCTATCAGCTAGGCCTTCGGGAAGAAGAATATTGGCAATTACAGGGATGTTCTCTCCGTAATGCTGGATTCAGGTGATTTGAAGATACTAGGCCTATAGCACCAGTATCCACCCAATTACAGCCATGATTTCTCACACCAAGGAAGAGGTATGCTCATTTCTACACTAAAGTAATACTGGGGAAGACATTTTTCCCCAGTATTATCAGAACCTGGTCCCAGTTGAATTGGCTAGACAGTTGTTAAAACCATGTCTCCCTTCTAACCAGCGTAACTGGGGTAAATCTGTAAAGGCGAGGGATGGCTAGAACGTCCTCCATAAGGTCTCTCTGAGCATTTGCAAATGGGTTTTATACAACATCCCACCTCCTTAGATTATGAATATGCATTGGTCATTGTTCATAGACAGACACAAGGAAACCTCGTGAGAGGGCGTCAGCTGTATGTGACTGAAAAAAATGACCAGACTTCACATTTCTAACATGGGAATTCCTGCCTTCAATGTCAAAGGATCTAGGAACTCATTTCACTGGAACGGTTACAAACAGTAACTTCATCGCTTGTATTAACCCCAAACATTATGAAAAATTGAAACAGTGATACCCTGAAGCATAAACTGTCCATCCAAACTATCAGAAATTTTTAACCTGCTTCTTCTACCTTGGCCTGCAGTTCTTCCAGTAGCACTGGTGGCCACACAATTATATCCTGGGAGTTCACATATGTTCTTTCCTTATAAAGTCATTTCAAGATATACTAGGCAGGTTAGCAGATTAGCCCTTTCTAGAATTACTAGTATTTGCTTCAGAAAGAAGAAAAGCTTACCTGTTGGCTTAGATTGAAATTAGAGTTATTTTAAAAGGCTGTAACAGCAAAGGGTTCAGAGTAATAAGGAAAAATATGCTGATACTCACTGATATCCCTGTTACATAACAGTAAAAAAAAATCACTTAAACGCAGCCCCATTTCAATGGCCTCTACCTACCCCCAAAGCCAAGCCTCATTAGGAGTACCAGTAAAAATAAGTTTTCTTATAAAACTGCAATACATGAATTGTAAAATATATAAAATGCATAGACATGTGTTTGTGCATATATGTGTATATATAGCATAAATGTGAAATATGCATATCTGTCTATCTGATATATGCGACTAAACGGATTTAACGATGACCTAGTGTCTTGCCCTTGACCTCACCTTGTATGTGGAAAACCTGGTCCCAGTTGATAACGTCACGTTCTTCCAGCAGCCGTCGGTAAGCTCTTACATCCTTGTAGAACACAGCATAGCCGTTTGTGTAATGGTCCAGGTTATCTGTCTCAGCCTGGGTCAGAAGACACATCATAAATATGCATCCTCTATCAGCGGTCGCCAACCAGTGGTCCGTGAGGTCCGAAAGGTTGGCCACCACTGGTTTAAGGAAACCTTTGTACTAGCTCACTGAAACCCTAGGTGGCGCGGGTACGGTTAGCTGGGTGTGTCTAGGTAATTTCCATTAGCAAAGTCAGTCACCAGTAAACAGTGGTGAGTACCCTGTAGTGAGGGAAGGCACAGACACTCAGAGTCTTTGCTTGACTATCTCTTCTAGCATTAGGGAGGTTTTACATTTATTTCACATAGTTCCAGGATTTGTAATTTATTTGTGAAAATAGAGTGTAACTCAAGGGACCAGCCGATCAGAATTAAATAAAACTCTCAGAACTGTCCTAATGTGGTCACGGCAGTGCATCTTTGGTGATTTGAGCCTCTCTTTGGTCCCAGAGGCAGAAGGGGGCAGACACTGTCTTTTTCAGTGTTCTTCCATATTCACACACATGACCAAAGTCCCCATCGTCATACGGGATCATCAACCCAGCAAAAACACTGGTGTGTGCAAATTGCATGCTTTCTGCTTCTAGAGATGATGAAACACTAAAGGCATAGTTTATTGAACGTGTTTAGGCTAGAGGTTTTCCATACTCCATGTCCGATACTCCAAAGACAGTCAAATTAGCAGCCAAGGATGAAATGTGTAGCTTTGTAAGCTAAAGTATTTGGCTGTGATGGTTATAATATCCCCTTTACCTGATCTGTTCTTTCTAGTTGATGCCAACTCTTATTGTTGTGCCTTGCAACACTGTACCTCTTTCTGCCGCCGAGTGATGACAGCTTTGAAGTCTGGCCATGAGTCCAATACCACTTCCTTTTGAAAGGGGTTCCCGCGATTTATGTTCATCACTGCTCCATAAACCTGAGCCAGAGGACCCAGAGAGACAGGTCAACGGCATCACCGGCTGTTTCAGTTGCATATTACCCTTTTCACCTCTGGTTCTACCATAGAATTATGGCCCTCAAAGCAGATATTATAAATATACACACAACATACACACATATACACTTCCCCGTTGTTATTTCATCAGTGCACATGAAAACTGCTGAAAAGTCTATGAAAGCTTAAGAAAACTCTCCCTGGACTTAGTGCTTCACAGTACAACCAGGAGAGGTACTAAATCAATAGGCTTACTAGGTGGGTGCTAGCCACATAGGTTAGCAATAAAGATTATTGAATGAATCAGAATCTATGGATTTAGGGCTCATACATCTTTTAGAAGTTCCACAGGTAATTTTGATGCTCACTGCTTTTGGGGTGTATTATACTATCTAAAAATAACCTGCGAAGTGCAACTACTCCTTCCACCCTGAGTTACAATTCAATATCACAAGATAGTGAAATACACCCCCCCCCCAAATAAGCCCAAAACACCCCCCTGTATATCAGATTTGATGGAGCAAGGCTCTGCAAGTATTCCCTGAGGACTGTAACAATGTCTTATTCATTATGACATCTATGGAGCCTGACACAGTTGATCAAATGCTTTTTAAAAAATATATATATTTTATTGATTTCAGAGAGGAAGGGAGAGGGAGAGAAAGATAGAAACATCAATGATGAGAGAATCATTGATTGGCTGCCTCCTGCATGCCCTCTATTGGGGATGGAGCCTGTAACCCAGCATGTGCCCCAACCTGAAATCGAACCATGATCTTCTGGTTCATAGGCTCGATTTGATGCTCAACCACTGAGCCCCACTAGCCACGCTCAAATGCTTTTTTTAAAAAAATGTATTTTTATTGATTTCAGAGAGGGAGAGAGAGAAAGAAACATCAGTGATGGGAGAGAATCATTGACTGGCTGCCTCCTGCATGCCCCCTACTGGTCTGCTGATCTTACATATACTACAGAGTAATAAGTTTATCAAAATGGTTTCCCCCACTGGGGATTGAGCCCGCAACCTGGGCATGTGCCCCTGGCCAGAATCCAACCCGGGACCTCTCAGTCTGTAGGCCAATGCTCTATCCACTGAGCCAAACTGGCTAGGGCTCAAATGCTTTTTGACTAAACAATACTGAATAATAATATTGGAATTCTCTGTGGCCTTTCACATTTTTTTTCTCCACTAAAAACCAAAGATGTCTGTCCTACAAAACAACTCTCATATGTTCTGTGTGCTTCTAGAGTAGAAAAAGTGTGGTGGTAAAGATACTTCCTCTGTGATCCAATGTATATTAAAAAACATGCAAAACTAAATGATGGCTTTAGAAGTCAGGACAGTGGTTACTTTGGGGGAGCAGGGAAAGGTAGGATTGGAGAGGAGCACTGATGGTGGGAGGGGCAGCCTCTCAAATCATGTTTTTTCTTGGAGTGGAGGTTATTCAGGTAATCGCTTTGTGAATTCACTGAGCTGTGTAAGTATGTACAGTATGTGCACTTTTTTTTTTTTTAAATCCTCACCCAAGGATATTTTTCCCAAGAGAGTGGAAGGGAGGAAGGAAGAGAGGGAGAGAGAGACATCAGCGTGTCTCTCACATAGATTGGTTGCCTTCCGCACCCACCCCGACCGGGGCTAGAGATCAAACCTGCAACCCAAGTACATGTCCTTGACCAGGAATCAAACCCACGGCCCTTGGTGTGCAGTCAATGCTCTAACCACTTAGCAACACCGGCTAGATGACCAAGAAAACCACTGAAAATACTCCAAAAATAAAGCTTTTGAAATAAACAGGAAAGGAATTTATAACAACCCCTAAACTTCAGTTCCACTGTGTACCTAGTACACATTCTTACCAGCAATGCCAACCAGTCCATACCCATTGGCCATTTAAAAACATTTAGAACTCAAATTTACCTTAAAAACAATCTAGTCCAGCATGACTTAAATTTTCCTGGGAGTCATCTAAAGTGACTGTCAGGAATATAATTATCTGGGTCATACCCACAACCCATTGACTCCGTCTCTAGCAAGTGGGGAGCGGGAGCTGTGTATTTAACAAGTGCCCCAGAGTCTTATCACTGGAAACTTTGGGAAACAGCCACCAGTTGGACATTATTTCCACAGATCAAGACAATAGAGCAATAAAATAAAACTCAAAGGCACAGTACCTTGAGTGATTCGGGAAAGTGACCCTTCAGCACTTTTTCCAGGGTCAGTAATTTGGTAGCACAGTTTAGCACCAGCATCTTCTCCAGAGCTCCAGCAGCTCCACACCTAGTAGAAACGTGAAGGTATACGTTTCACTTTTGCCTGTTAGCAATGAATCCACCCAGGAACATCCTGGAAACCCTGTTTTCCCTGGCTGTGATTCTGAATACCGTTGCTCCCCCTGAAGAGGGAAGGAGGAGGTGAGGGAGGCCCTGGGATGGGTAAATCAGAGAACACCTAGAAATGGAAAGTGTTAATGACCTGATTCTGGAAAGATGTTTCTCCACTGGATAAAGCCTTCATCATTTACACATGCATAGAACTCTGCACGCCTCCTTCAGGATACAATAGCAGTTGTAAATTTACATGTATGTGTGTTTCTTTTGATTGAAGTCTTTCTCAAGTAGACTGTGAGATACAGGAAGGAAGGGTCCAGGTCTGCTTTGGGCTGCACCGTCTCCCCAGCACCTACCACGGGGCCCGGCACATAGTAAGGGACATTCCAAGTAGTTGTTGAATGGCTGATGTGAAGCTCAGGGTAAGACTCTTCACAATGGGGTACAAAGACCCAAGGGGCTCAGCTATCAGGTGGTTATGAGGAACAATTTGGAGAGGAACAGCTAGATTGCAGATGAAGACTCCTGTGTGAGCAAAAGCTCCTTTCAGTCAGATAAAATTAAGGAACAATAACAACCAGAAAAGCCTATAATGTATACAGCTTCACCCATTCTGATGCAATTATATTTTCTAGATTTGGGGGCTCCAATCTCCTGCTCTTTTGCCCCAAGAAAACTTTTCCCTCAACA